GATGAAGAAGGCAATTATGGGAGAAATTGACAAGCTTAGATGATGGAAATATTGGATGGCTCATAGGAGGAGATTTTAATATTGTCCGTTCTAATGGGGAGAAATTAGGCAGTCTGCCCACATCTTCTATGGCCATGCAGGAGTTTAACCACTTTATTCACGACTCAGGTTTGATGGATATCCCTTTCGATGGCCCGAAACTATCATGGTGCAATGGGCGACAGGGTACAAGACGTATATGGGCTCGCCTTGACCGCATCTTGGTAAATCAAAATTTTAGGAATTTATTTCCTTTTGTTGCATTATTTTATTTGGAGAGCACATCAACGGATCATTGCCCGATGGTTCTAAAATGTAGAGATCAGTCAAGTGTGACATGCCCCAGATCGTTTAGGTTTCTTGGTATGTGGTGTTCTCATAAGTGTTTTCTTCCCCTGGTGAAACAAATTTGGGATATACACGTGCCTGGTTCTCCAATGGTGTGTCTCACATGCAAATTGTGGACCTTAAAAATAGCTTTAAAATCTTGGAATGCTGAGGTGTTTGGAAGGGTGCAATAGGAAATATGCATGATTGAAAAGAAACTGATTCAACTGGAACAATCTTTGATGGAAAATTTTTCACTGGAAATTGAAAATCAACTTTTGCAATGTCGAAATCAATATGTTGTTTGGCTCGAAAGAGAGGAAGCTCTTTGGAGACAAAAGTCCCGCATTAAATGGTTTAAAGAGGGTGACGGCAACACAAAATTTTTTCATGTTTCGGTCAAAAATAAAACTAAGAGTCCGATTATTGAGCACATGATCCTTGAAGATGGTAGAGAGCTAAACTCACTGGACGAAATTCATGAGGGAGCTGTGCAGTTTTTTCAAAATCTTTTCTCAGTTTCACCTATCTCTATGGATGCTAATGTCCTAGAACTCTTGCAACCGGTCATTAATGAGGAGGAGAATATGGCTCTGTGTAAACCGCCTATTTTGGAGGAGGTTAAAGCTACTCTGTGGTCTATCCCCAAAGATAGTAGTCCGGGACCTGACGGTTTTAGTGCAAGTTTCTTTATCAATGCCTGGGAAATTGTCCAGTCGGATCTTCTTGCTGTAGCCACGGAATTTTTTGGGGGTTGCCCTCTTAATTGTGCTTTGGGGGCAACTAACATTGTTCTTATTCCTAAGGTCGACTCCCCTAAAAGTTTTGAGCAGTTCTGGCCTATTAGCCTTTGTTCGGTGGTATACAAGATCCTATCCAAAATTATGGTTGCTAGAATGGCCCCCTTACTTGACAAAATAATTTCTCGAGAGCAGTCAGCCTTTATTCAAGGTAGGAGTATTTTTGATAATATATCCATTGCTCAGGAGATGGTGCATAGTCTTCATAAGAAGGTTAGAGGTGGAAACACATTATTAAAGATCGATATGGCTAAAGCTTATGATAGAGTAAACTGGCGTTTCCTTCTGGAGAGTTTAAGGAGATTGGGATTTTCTGACCAATGGAGAAATCTTGTTTTCAATTGCATTTCATCTCCATTCTACTCAATCATGCTCAATGGTCACACACGGGGGTTTTTCAAACCGTCTAGAGGACTTCGCCAAGGTGATCCATTGTCCCCATATCTATTCATTTTGGCATAAGAGCTCTTGTCTAGAATGATCAACCAAGCATTTGATCGTAACCAGATCACACCGTTTCATTCGGGAGGTATTATGGTTAGCTATTTATTTTATGTCGATGACTTGTTGATATTTGCCCATGGATAGAAAAAATCGATTGCTAATCTCCTTGATATTATTAAAAATTATGAACTGATTTCGGGCCAACAAGTGAATCCTATGAAATCCTCTATGTTTCTTTCCAAACATATCAGTGCTACCCGTAAAAGAAAATTATTGGCTGCTCCGGGATTTAAGGAAGGACTCCTACCTTGCACCTACTTGGGCGTACCACTCTATACCGGAAGACTATTGAAGTATATGTTTGAACCGATGATGGCTAAAATACAGAAGAAGCTAGCTGGCTGGAAAGGACACCTACTCTCTTTTGGTGGTAAAATCACCTTGATCAAGCACGTTCTTAGCAGCATGCCCATTCATATGTTATTGGTTATAAATCTACCTAAAGGTCTTCACGAAGAACTGAATTGTATTCTCTCTTTTTTCCTCTGGAATTCAACTAATGGTTCGAAAAAAAGGAAATGGGTTGCTTGGAGAAAAATCTGTTATCTAGAGGTAGAAGGTGGTCTGGGCATTCGTGATTTTGGTGAGGTACAGCAGGCTCTATTCATGAGATTTGCATGGAAGTTGATTGTTGGGAAATCCTTTTGGGCTGACTATTTCCGTTCTAAGTACATGAAGAACAAACATGTGGCTGTGTTGAAAATTCATCCCACTCAGTCTCGTTTTTGGAAAGGGGTACTCTCGACATTGCCGTTTGTGTTACAAAATACTTTCTGTCATGTTCGAGACGGCTCTTCGAACTTCTGGTATGACAACTGGACGGGATCCCAAAGTCTTTCCGAAGCAGGTCTAGTGGTAAAGGAACCTGAACTAAAAATTAAAGATCTTCTGACGACAAATGGAAGATGGAATGGAAGCCGACTGAGAGAGATCATGGATGAAAATCAGGCTGCTGTTATTAAATGTGTGCACATTAAACTTTATAAAACCCAGGATCATTATATCTGGAAGCCCAATAAAGATGGTTCCTTCTCAACTAAAACAGCCTGGGAGTTAATTCGGAAAAAAGGGTAATTTGTCCATGGAAAAAATG